GTGTACACACACACACACACACACACACACAGATGCAAGAAAACAAACGAAGAAATACATACACAGGGTCAAAGGGACAAATATGGCCACACAGAATCTCAACGTATAGATCTAAAGGGATGAATCAGCAAACACACACACACACACACACAGACACACACCACACACACACACACACACACACTGGCATAAATACAAACAATAAACCTGTCCACCTGAATTTGGCATAAAGACTATTCGGCATGTTAGCAATCATGGTCACATGACTATTTTGTACAAAACGTTTTTCTTGGCTTCGGAACTGTTGCTAAAATCCTGTAGGAGGATCAGAAGCTGCTAAATGGACCTTTTTAAAGTCAAGAATAAGAATTCTCAGGTCGGTTTCACGCCTGAGCCGAGCTTCATGTGTTTGTTCCTTTGTTTCCATTTGATCTGGTTAGTTTTGGTTTTGTCTGACGTACGTACGTCCTGTCGTCATCACCTACGTGGAAAGATTTGTCAACACTTTCACCTGCTCGTTGTATATAACCTCAAATGTGTGTAAGTGTGTCACATTTAACGAACGTAATCAGAAACCTACGGACGCTTGTTTATCTGGGCCGGTGGTTTGTGACGACGCAAACACAGACACGTCCTCTTGTGATCCCTCAGTTGTTCTCGTGAATCGGTCGTGAGCAGATTAACCTCGTACTTTATAAATCACTCATCAGACTCAGTAATGAATTACTGCACGGGCAAAGTGGGCACATGCCCTGGAGACCTCTCTATTTTCAGGATCTCTCTTGTTTCTAATGTGTCTTTTGTTTTCTCAAATAAATAAATTTGATTTTGAAAATGCCGTGTGAACATGACACCGTCGAAATGTTTTGTAGATTAACAGATTGAATCAGTTAAAACTGATTGTGACGCTTCCTGTCGGCAGCTGCGACGGAGAGTGACCAGGATTAAAAAAAGAACCAGGATGTTCGTATTTTCTGTTTTTTAATCGCAGTCCTGACCGACGTAGTTAAACTACAGACTAGTAATAAAGATGGACGACGCGACAGCCCCCATAAAAGTGAAGCCAAATCATCCTATCGCCCCCTGGTGGCTGGTGGCAGTATAGGTCATAATCATGTCTCCTCCATGTTAGTAGATGGGACATGGATACACGCTGAGTTTTTCTCAAAGATGGGGTCTGTCATTCTCGGTGGTGTTTGTGTTTCAGATGAGTTTGGTTTGAATTAGTTATTTGATGATATAAACGTCTTGTTTTCTATGAGTTTCTCCTACAAAGAGAAAAATTCTAACCTTTTCCCGTTTCTTACCTACAGCTGGAGCATTGTACTCTTCTCCCAGCAGAATCTCCGGAGCGGAGTACGCCAGCGACCCACAGCTCGTCGCCAGCATCGTCCCCGGTTGAAACAAGTTGCTGAAGCCAAAGTCCGTCAGCTTCACGGCGCCCTGCTGCGGAAAGAACACCACGTTCTCGGGCTTCAAGTCCCGGTGCACCACGTGGAGCTGGTGGCAGTACGCAACAGCGCGCACTATCTGGGCGAAGTGACGCTTGGCGATGTCCTCGGCCACGCCCGCCTCGTGGCGGAGGATGTAGTCGTAGAGGTCGCCGCCCTCAGCCAGCTCCATGATCAGGTACAGGGTGGTGGGCGTGTCGATGACCTCGTAGAGTCGAACCACGTTGGGATGCTGCACGAGCCTCATGCACCTGAAAAGAATCAGTATTGACGGCAGTGAGACGAATTTAAGATTTAAAATTTCCGACCATAATCTTTTCTGCTCGTACCTCACTTCCTGTAAGAGGTGGCTTGTTGCCATAATGTCGAGTTTTGTCTTGTTGATCATCTTGACGGCCACCAGTTGGCCGGTGTTGACGTGACGAGCCAGTTTGACCACCGCAAAGTGGCCCCTGCCCAACGTCCGCCCCAGGTGGTACAGTCCGCTGAGGTCAGAGCGACCGGGGCTGCTCCTGAAGTCGAGGTGTCCGTCCTGCCCTGCGGTCGTCTCCCCGGAGGAGTCCATGTTTGAAACGTAGAGCTGATTTGGACGGGAGCTGGGTAAAGATGAGAGGGGCTTACACGGAGGTGTGGAAGGAAAGAGGAGGTGGAAAAGCGTCGGGTGAAGAAGCTGAGGTGTGGAGAGTCGTCTGGTGAGACAAAAAAGACAATGACACACGAAAGTTTAGACTTTGAACCAAAGGAAAAAGAGCTCGAGGGGGGAGGGGGGAGGGGGGGGACAGCTGCTGCTAATGCCTCATTACTACAAGAAATAAGTTTAATTCAAGTAGTAACAGATGAAAGTGTGTACGATTATCGTTCAGTGAAAGCAACAGAGGGTAAAATATTCTTTCATTGTCCGAGGGGCTGTGTTTGTCTCTATCTCAAATAACATCCATGAAGCACAAATGGCTCCTCCAATCAATACTGTAACAGGAAACCTTAATGTATGTGTGGGTGTGTTTGTGTGTGTGTGTGTGTGTGTGTGTGTGTGTTTGTGTGGGAGAGAGAGGGAGGGTGAGGCA